GAGTTTTCACTTAAAAATAATAATAAAAATCAATGCAAGTCACTAATGCAAGTTCGGGATGTCCTAGACTTCCTGTCCATCACTTGTGTAAATTTGGTGTCATGTAGGGAAGGTAATCAAAAATAAGAAAGGCTTATGTAAAGAATATCAGAGTAAAGCATTTAAGTGTAAACTTACAAGAAAATATTTTTTTATTAAAACAATACGTCACTTACCTAATATACACACGTAAAATACATGCTCATGGAAATTAAAAGTTTTAAATTTTCTTTCTTTTCTGAGATAATTCTTCAAGCATTTTCTAATACATTATTGTAAATCTTTAAAAACTGCCTTATTCATGTTAAAAAATGACTCTAAAGAGTCAGAGACCTCTTGTCCATTTACAAAATAAAATGTCACACTTTCAACGTCAAAAATTTGTGAAAACCTTTTTTTAAATATCAAGTCCGCTTTAGCTGGTTTGGCTCAGTGGATGGAGTGTCAGTCTGCGGACCGAAGGGTCCTACATTTGATTCTGGTCAAGGGCACATACCTCGGTTGCAGGCTCCTCCCAGGCCCAGGCCCTGGTCAGGATGTGTGGAGTAGGCAACCAATCAATGTGTTTCTCTCACATTGATATTTCTCTCTGTCTTTCCCTTTCTCTTCCACTCTCTATGGTAATCAATGGGAAAATACCCTCGGGTGTGCAGGAGGCAGCTGATCAATGATTCTCTCTCATCATTGTTGTTTCTGTCTCTTTCTCCCTCTCCCTTCCTCTCTGAAATATATATGTCTCAAGGCATTTCCATGTTTCCTAAAAGATTTACCACTAAATCATAAGTTATTCAAATGAAAAGACCAGGGAGTAGAGAGTACATCAGTTAAAACACAATGAATAATGAGGACAGCTCATATTGCCTCCTCAGACCAATTCTCCCTTCTCCCTCCACTAGTAAAATCAAGCACAGACACCAAATCAAATCTTCTTCCTCTTTCCACCACCTCAACAGCATCTCTATTCCAACATGGTGCAATAAGCTTAATTGTATTCATAATCTGGACACCCCTAGTTCCCAGTCCACATATCTAGTCTTGACTTTTTCCCTGAAAATAAATGTCAAGGTTCCATCTGCCTGGCAGGCATCACCATATAGATGTCCCAACACACCTTCAAAGTCCTCATGACCTAAACAAACATACCTCAGCTCCAAACCCAATGCTGCTCCTTGCTCCATGCTCCTGCGCTTTATTAATGCATCAGCCACACAGTGAGCTCCGAGGCAATCATTTAAGACTCAGATGAAGCAAATTATCTCTCTAAGCCAGTTTCCTTTTCTGTAAAAGCTGACAATGACCTACTTTAGATGGTTGTTAGGGGATTAAATAACATCATGATAAAGTAGACACTTTATCATTAGATATTCCCCTTCCTTATACTGTGTATTTAAGCACTTCTCAAGGCCTATCAACTCTGCCAACCAAATGTCTCTAAAATCTTTCCCCTATTTTCTATTTCCTCCATCAAAGTTCTGGTCTGACCACTCAGCATCTCTAACCTAAACAATTGCAAAACTCTTGGACTAATCACCTGTTCCCTTCTCTCTCTAAACCTGCTTGCCTATAAGCTCCACAAGATAGGAGTATAACAGGTCTTATTCCTTTTCCATTTCCCCCAAAATAAGCACATTGCCTGGCAGAAAATAGGTTGGCAATGCTGACTGGCTCCCAATTCATCATCCAGACACAATGAAGCCATGCTTTAAGAAAAAGTTCAATCACACAGCTGGTGTGGCTCAGTGGTTGAGCATTGGCCTATGAACCAGAAGGTCACAGTTCAATTCCCAGTCAGGGCACATGCCCTGTATCGGGGGAAGCACAAGAGGCAGTTGAGCAATGATTCTCTCTCATCATTGATGTTTCTATGTCTCCTTCCCTCTCCCTTCTCTGAAATCAACAAAAATATATTTTTTAAAAATTAAAACCTCAATCCCTTCAGCATTGAAGGAAGCCCTTTGCATACTGACTCATCACCAACTTATTCTCAAGGTCCCCAAATTCCTCTATTTCTCCCTCTAGAATCCAATATAGTATATCAATATGGAGGCACTAAGCCAAATAAGTAGCAAACAAAAAGTTTATTCGACATAGGCAGAAAATCATAAAACCTGTTAATAACAATAAGTAAATAGTAAGTAGAGCAGTGATGGCGAACCTTTTGAGCTCGGAATGTCAGCATTTTGAAAAACCCTAACTTAACTCTGGTGCCGTGTCACATATAGAAATTTTTTGATATTTGCAACCATAGTAAAACAAAGACTTATATTTTTGATATTTATTTTATATATTTAAATGCAATTTAACAAAGAAAAATCAACCCAAAAAATGAGTTCACGTGTCACAGGTTCGCCATCACTGAAGTAGAGCATGTATATTTTAAACATAGAAAGAAAGGTATGGAAGAACCAAGAGATAACTAATTTTCAGTATATATTAAGTATACATGAGGCACCTGGGTTCTAAATATTCATCATGCACTAATCTACAAGATATAGTAAATATTCATGAGTACTCAATATTCATGAGGCTTTAATTCGGCCACTCATCCACTGGTGACACACATTCTGGCCCCATGTGTCCTTTGCCCAAGAAACACAAAGTCTCTACTATTTAGCAGGTGTATTGGTGAGCTGCAGCTATGGCCAGGCCCACTATCCTTGCATCTCTCTGATACAGTATGTGCCATTACCCCAACATCCCTTCTGTATTTGGTTCTTCTTGAACTTCCACTCTGGTCTCCCAACCACACTAATTAGCAGGAAGGGCTGATACAGCAGGAGACACATAGGACCATTGCTTACCCCCAGATTCAGGCAAGGTGGTCATTCCACTCACTTTTACCCTGTCCTAAGTGTGTGAACCTACCTCATCTCTTTCCCCTTGCTTCTTGCGATGTATTTGAAATCATTTTAATGCATCATGTGATTTATGCATTTTAATCTGGCCCATGAGGCTGCTGTTCTGTGGTCTCTGGAAAGCCCATATGCATGCTTCTTGGAGGCCACCATTGCACCAAGGTAATATCCCACACTATACTCTGGCTGCTTTGTAGGAGGAGCAGAAATGGAATCAGAGAGATCTATTAGGCAGTTATTCCATTATTCTAATCAAGAAATAAGATTATCCAGGGTTACAATGGTAGCAAAGGGGACAGAGAAACATGAACAGATTCAAGATATGTTTTGGTATGAGAATAAGGAACAAAGATGGTGGGAGTAAACAACAGGAAAGGTAAATGAAGCAGAGACCATAGTCAGAGATGGCAATTTCAGAGCCTAAGCTATTAGAGATGGCGATGCTCAGAAAGACAAAGAGATAATAACAGACCCAAGAATCATAGTTTGTCAGAGATCAAAGGGGCCTTGGAAGGTCATCGACACCAAACACCAAACAAACATGTGACTCCCTTCCTACACTTCTACTAACTGTCAGTGAAAAATAACCCCTGACTTGCTCCCAGGACCATCCATCTATACTCGTGGTCGGCAAACTATGGCTCATGAGCCACATGCGGCTCTTTGGCCCCTCCAGTGTGGCTCTTCCTACGCCTTAGGAGGACCCTAATTAAGTTAATAATAATGTACCTACCTATACAGTTTAAGCTTAAAAAATTTGGCTCTCAAAAGAAATTTCAATCGTTTTACTGTTGGTATTTGGCTCTGTTGACTAATGAGTTTGCCGACCACTGATCCATACCAATGACCAAAACAAATATGTGACTCCCTCCTCCTCCACCCAACCCTGACTCTGCTCATCCAGAACCATCTACTACAACTTCTGGCAGCTCTCTTTCAGAAAATTATTCCTCTTACTGAACTGGATTCTGACCTATTAGGTCCTGTACTTGAGGATACAGAAAATTAGGTCACCCCTCTTCCACATGATATCCCTTTAGATTTCTGAAGACATTTATCAGGCACACCTAAGTATTCCCTTTACAGGTTTTCCATTTCCATAATTTGCCTTACATATGACAATTTTCAGTTCTTTTACCATCACGGTTGCTATACCCTGAAGGCATAAAGCACTCAGCATTGTCCCGCATGATTGAGTAATAGCATAAACAGAAGAAATCAGTCACTTCCCTTGATCTCTGCCATGCTTCTAATAATGCCACCCAGGATTAGCTTCTCAGGTGGCCACATCATAGAGTTAATGCTTGTCGGGTAGAAGTAGAGTACGCATAAAGATGACTGGCTTACATGGGGTGAAAGAACAATAGCCCTCTGTCGAAGTATCATCAAAGTCTGTAGTGAACGGGTATCAGGATGAAAGAGTGGTTGAAGCAAATGGCGGTAAATTCAAGAAAAGAGTGAAGACCGATCTGGAAGTGGCAGTAGAAAACCATCTTCTCTCTTCCCTTGAGAGTGTTGTGAAGGAAGTAATATGATCATAGCAAAAAGACCAAAATATCTGAAGAAAAAAAGTCAGACATGGGAGTTTGCTCATACTAGAACATCATCTGAAAGGATACAAGTATGTCATAGAAGAGTGAGAGAAATGGCCAATGTTGAGGTAGGGGGCAAGAAATCTGATAAGTCACTACTAGTAAATACAAGCTAATAGCATGTGTATATTCACTGTGGCCAGCAAGTTAGACACATGAAAAGTAGCATGGGTTTTTTGGTTTTTTTTGGTTAATCCTCACCCAAGGACATTTTTCCATTGATTTTTAGAGAGAGTGAAAGGGAGAGGGAGAAGACAGAAAGAAAGAAACATTGATGTGAGAGAGACACATCAATTGGTTGCTTCCTGCACTCACCCTGACCAGGACTGGAGAGCAAGCCTGCAACCAAGGTACTTGCCCTGGATGGGAATTGAACCGGGGATCCTTTAACACTCTATCCACTGAGCCAAACCAGCTAGGGCAGCATGAGGTCTTTTTAAAAAGCTAGAGAAAGATAGTATATAAAAGCAGAAGTTACAAAGTAAAGAACTATAACTCTGCTTTAAATAGATACCTTGAGGCAGTCCGCTATTTTCTACAAATGGTTCAATTACTTCAATTGTGTCATCTTCAGGGTAGAAGTAGATTTTATAGCGTCTTATTCTATATTCTTCTTGCCTTTTATCATCCATTTCAGCTTCTTCATATGCATCAAAAGCTAATACCTGTTAGAATCATAATTAGAAACTAAGAAATTTTAAAAAATCAGCAAATTTAAAATCAATAAAGCTACTTACTGTCCATATCCTTTTTGTTACTGTAAAGAAAAAAAGTTGAGGCTATTTTGCAAGAAGATATTCTACACATGAGCTATGATAATGAATATATAATCCAGATTTCAGTATATAAAGATTATTTTATATTTTCATCACCATCTGGTTTGAATGAGGAAATGATATTAAGGAAATAAATCCATCATTCATCTCTACCATAAATTGAACTGTCTGTCTTTGTAATTTCAGAGTGGGATTCTATATGTATGTGTTATAGACAAAATAATATTCTTTCTCACAAGATGAATATGTTTTGTCATTTTTTCCCATTAAAAATAACATAAAACTACCTTGGATCTAGGATAAAATTACCCTGACTTCTGGTCCTACTGATTGCTTGCCTTGAGAGCAATTAAAACAGGCATATCTGAAATTCTAGTGTACCAGAGACCCCCGCCTTACACTTCTTCAGGAACCTCAAAGAACCCAGCTCAATGCCAAACCCAGTCTCATCTCACATTCTGTTATGTGTTGGGGTGGATGGGACACTGAGCTAGGAAAGGTAGATTATAAAGTAGTTAGTAAAAATCAGAGATAGTAAAAAATACCCTTGAATACCCTTAACCACTGAAAACTGTGCCTCATTCAGTAATACAACACAGCCCAATTTTCTCCCATGTTGAATGAAGCAAAGGCTTCTTGTTGAAGAGCCGTTGAAATCGCTTCCTTGGGCTTAGGTGCCATGTTATATGAGGGGAGGGGAGTATCTTTACTGATTGGAATAATTTTCAACATGGTGAGATGCTCACATACTGAGAAAAACATGGTAATTGAGGATAACGAAGAGAACAGTAGATTTAAGCTACCATTTACTCTTTACCTGGGGCACAGGCTACTTGAAAGCTCCATTTTAATATTCCCTTTATTCCCATTTTTGACCAATTTTTATCATTAAAGTTGCAAAATTTAATTGTGCATATGGTGTAACATCAGGGTAATTCAACATGGACAATATAATAGCTATGAGTGAGTCTGTTTGGGTGGTCAGTTATCCTAATTAGAAAGATATGCTTTGTGAGTGTTCAGCAAATTTCTATCAGAAGCCTACACTTCAGAAGGAGCTGACAAAATGCATCAGTAGTTTATCTCTGATCAACAGAGGAAGCTTTATTAATTACCATAAAGGATTATAGAAGTGAGTTTTAGTTAGTGAAATAATTATATTCAAAATGAAAAAAAAATCAGTTACCAATATTGACTAGGCACTGTCTTTACCAGTTCAGGTTCTAAAAATCTAGTAAGCCCAGAGATCTATAACCTTCAAATGGCACCTTTGGCTTTATTCCAAAATGGTCCCTTGTTCAGCTGCTTTCTTGGGGGAATTCATCTGGCCTGATTCCATTTAGAAGTTAGCTAAACTCACTACTAGAATATTGTTGTATTTATGTTCAGTGAATATGTCTGGTAAGATGCTATTGGATGGATACAGGGTTTCCTTCTAGGGTGATTAAAATGTCTTGGAACTATGCCCTACCCAGTTTTGCTCAGTGGATAGAGCACTGGTCTGTGGACTGAAGGGTCCCAGGTTCGATTCCAGGTCAGTGCACATGCCCAGGTTACCAGCTCGATCCCCAGGAGGAGACGTGCAGGAGGCAGCCAATCAATGATTCTCTCTCATCATTGATGTTTCTATCTTTCCCTCTCCCTTCCTCTCTGAAATCAATAAAAATATATTTAAAAAAATAAAATATCTTGGAACTAGAAAGATGTGATAGTTGTACAACACTGTAGATATACTAGATGCCACTGAATTGTACACTTTAAAATGACTAATGATTTATTTATGTTATATAAATTTTACCTCAATTTGAGGGCAAGTGGGCAGGGGGTTGCTATAAGGAGTCAATGGGAGAGAAAAGGGAACATATGTTGTACTTTCAAATATAAAGATTTTAAATAAATAAATAAAAATTAAAAATTATATTGGACACCAAGCTGTGTTGAACATGTTAAAATGGTGAATTTTATGTTGCATGAATTATGTCTCAGTAAGAAAAAGTAAGAGGTGAGAAGATGTTGCTGGAACACCTAAAAGCTCAGAGGGAACTAAAATCACCTTTTAAACAGAATTTAACTCAGGAAGAACTTGTACTTCCCACTTAACTACCTAAAAGAATTTAGATAAGGGCCCTGTGCCAGGAAGAGAGCTATTATCAGAGAAAACTTTTTAAATCAGAAAGATTTATCTGCATGGCATGGCAAACATTTGTTTACCAAACATTTGCTCTGCCCAACTTCCTGTGAATTGTTCTACTCTCCTTTGAAGCCCAGAGCCCTAACCTCTTCTCCTTAGTTCAAGGTGGATGTAAGCCTCAATTTCCTGACTACCAGGAAGTCTCATATTTTTATGGGGCTACCATATATACAAAATTTGTTTTCCTCCTGTTAGTCTGTCTTAAGTCAGTTTAACTACTAGACTAGCCAAAGAACCTAGAAAGGAAGAAGGGGAAAGTTTTCCATCCCTACAATAGTATTCAATCTGAAACTTATCTTTTGGTAATTGGGTCAGAAAGTGTAGAGAAAATATTCATAGCTCTCACCTACTTCTATGTATTGAATATACATTTATTAACGACCTGAAATGTAGTTATCCTATATAATAAAAGGCTAATATGCAAATAGACCGAACTGCAGAACAACTGAACAACTGGTCGCTATGATGTGTGCTGACCGCCAGGGGGCGCGTGCAGAACATAGCCAGCATCAGCTGCGTCGGGATGGTGGAGCAGGTAAGCAGGGGCACCAGACCAAGGCAGGGCGCCAGTCACTATCATTGGGGCGATCCTCTTGTGGTTACTGAAAATTCTTTGCTCCTGCGCACCGCGGTCCCGCCTGGCACCCACACCTGCTGCCAGCACTGACCCCACTCACACCCACTGCTGGCACCCAGCGCTGGCTCCAATCTGTCGACACTGTCAGTGGGTGCGAGCAGCGACTGCCTGCCCTGATCCCTCCTCTGGGCTTCTCCACCTCCCCCTGCTCCTGAGGGGCAAACGGGGCCGGCAGCCACCTCTCGAACCTGCTGCCAGCACTGGATCTGCTTGCACCTGTTTGATCCGCTGACGGCGCTGGCCCCAATCGCTCTGCAACATCAGCAGGTGCGAGTGGCACCGTCAGCATGTGGGAGTGGCAGCGGCAGACAGGGGACCGGGGCCGTGGTGGGGCAGGGCAGGGGCGAGGAGGATGGGCTGAGACCCACCCTTGTGCCCACCGCAGCCTTGCAGCCCACAGTCCCTTTCAAGGTGCACAAATTCATGCACTGGGCCCCTAGTGATTATATATTTATGAAGGATATACTGATATATATTTATTATATATATTTATGAATGACCAAACTGGCATAGAGCAATTGACAACACTGTCATGTATGTAATCACTAAGTATTCAGCAATCTAATGCTGAATTAAAAGTGAGTAAAAGATGCCAAATGGAAATAAAGAGAAAAAATACAGCATTTTAGACCAGCCTTCAATATTTCTAGAAAAGGGATATACTGATAGTTCATGTTCTGGTCCCTTGAGAATACAGGGCTGCAGAACTCCACCATGAAAGTGAAGGGGAGCACAATCTGTCACCTCAAAATATGCCTCCTTGGCATGAGGATTATTTTAGGCTGGTTATTTTTAAGAAACTGCAGACCCAGGGGAAGCTCTGAAAACTGAGTAAAAGTTACCCTTTTGTAAGAAACATTTACATGTATAAGGAAAATCTCCATGTGCAAGGATGTTCCCACTGTACCAGTTAGAGAATAACTCAAAGTCTTTAGAAACTTTTAGCAATGCAGAGGCAAGGACTTAAATCTGCCTAACAACCTTACCCTTGTTGACTGTGCCTTTCCAGATAACCTGCTATAACTGGCCTTCCCCTTCCCACCACACCTTATGTTTTAGCTAGAGATGATATTGAAGGTGTTGGTTTGCACCATTACTGGGAGTTGTGCGGTTTTCCTGGGGTCTCTGCTATGTATACAGGTGGCAGCCATTGCTGACAGAGGCCTTTGGTGCACTCTGCATTTCAGGAAAAGACACAGACTGAGATTTCAACCTCCTGTACTATTTATTCCCTTGCATGCTTACACTCTCTGAGTCAACCACTGCAAGCATGTTCCTGGTTCTATCTTCTCACCAATGAACTGACACCTGCCCCAACCTGCATAAAACAGATGGAATTGGGAACTTGGGCAGAAACTTTCTCTCTAAAAGGCAGCAACTTTCTCTATAAAAGGTGGCCTCCCTTTTGTCTCAGGGGAACACAAATTAGGTTGCTACCTGAATCTGTGTCTCCCAGGCTACAGCTCTTTTTGTTCCAATAAATGCTTTCTTTTATTTGTTACACTATAAAATTAATTCTGGTCTACATAATTATTGTGCTGAGAATAAATTGAAAAATACAAGTATTGATTCTAATAAAGAAATTAAATATATTCTTATTGATTTCAGAGAGAAAGGGAGAGGGAGAGAGAGAGAGAGAGAGAGAGAGAACCACCCATGATGAGAGAGAATCATTGATCCGCTGCCTCCTCCACATCCCACACTGGGGATCAAGCCCACAACTACTAAGCCACGCCGGCTGGGCTAAAATGTTTTAAACGTACCAACCTATAAGATACAGGCAAATCTATAAATCTTGGGTAAATTATTTGATTTAGACTATTACATAAGAGAACTTAGAGTTAAAGATACTTAACAGCTCAGCCAGCATGGCTCAGTGGTTGAGCATTGACCTATGAACCAGGAGTTCACTGTTCAAATCCCGGTCAGGCACATGCCAGGGTTGTGGGCTCCATCCCCAGTGATTCTTTCTCATCATTGATGTTTCTATCCCTCTCTGCATCTCCCTTCCTCTCTGAAATCAATACATATATAGTTAACTTCGTTAAATGTGCTAACAGC